TAGGGAAACCACTCCAGCCACGGGAGCATTAACGTGTCTGTGTGTGCTTGTGCCTCCCCGTCTCTCCCCAGGCTGCTGATCGTCTACCCCTGGACCCAGAGGTTCTTCGCATCCTTCGGGAACCTCTCCAGCCCCACCGCCATCAGTGGCAACCCCATGGTCCGTGCCCACGGCAAGAAAGTGCTCACCTCCTTCGGGGACGCCATCAAGAACCTGGACAACATCAAGAACACCTTCGCCCAGCTGTCCGAGCTGCACTGCGACAAGCTGCACGTGGACCCCGAGAACTTCAGGGTGAGCCATACCCCTGATCAGGGACCCCCCTCCCATGTCTGTTCCTTCCCTGACCCAGAGCCCAGCCACGGGATGGAGTGACACCAGACCATGCAAGAGGAAGAGGGGTGGGTGGTTGGGATGCAGTGGGAGGCGGAAGAGGGAAGGGACCAAGCTCCAGCTTGGTGGGAACACACCGACGGGTCCGTGGTTACAGAGGGGCTGTCGGGAGGGTACAGGAGAGGGGAAGGAAGCGAGGAGGTGGGTTTGGTGCGGAAAGGGAGGGACGGAGTGAAGCGAAAGCAGTTGTTGAGCAGGAGGAGGTGTGAGCCGAGGGGAAAGCGAAGGCGAGAGTGGAATTGGCTCGGGGGAGAGAGGAGAGATGAGCGAGGAGCAAGGGTTGGCGGCTAGACGCCAAAACCGAAAGAGGAGTGGGACCTAGAGGGAGAGAAAGGTTTGGCTCCCGTGTCTCTGCAGCTGAGGGTTTCCCAGTGGGGACGTAACCCCGATGTTTGTCACTGGGGCTGGCTAGACCACCCCACACGTCAGCACGAGCCAGGGCGCTCTGCGGTGCCGAGTGCCGGCTCAGTGCCACGCGGCGGATGCCAAGCTGCGTCTTCCGCTCGGGAGAAACTCCCGGAAAGAAAAATGTAATCAAGATTTCTGGAGAGTTTTTGGTTACTCTTCCCTTGGCAGTAGCCGAACCTGAATCTTTATGAGCAGAGAGCAACTTTAAGGTGCCTCTTAAAAAGGTCTCCAGGGAGGTTTCTGACCACAAAATGCCCGGAGGTTTCCCTGGGGGTAACGCGAGTGTTTGCGTGGGGATCTGCAGGCATTGCTAACCCGAGGGCGCTCTTGTCCCCCCAGCTCCTGGGTGACATCCTGATCATCGTCCTGGCCTCCCACTTCGGCAAGGATTTCAGTCCCGACTGCCAGGCTGCCTGGCAAAAGCTGGTCCGTGTGGTGGCCCACGCGCTGGCCCG